AGAAGGATGCAGTGAGAACCTCAAACTGGTGCTCCATGACCTGACAGGACAAAGATGATCTGTCCTTTGGCCCTATGTTGTTCTCTGCAATACTGTTCTATATACTGCGAGAGTCTTCATCTTTGAAATAAATTTAAAAAGCCACAGTACCTGTTTTTGAAAAGTCGGTGCTCTTGTTTTATTTGATTTTGTTTAATGAATCAAGAATAATATATTGCATAAAAATGCAAATAGTTATCTGGCCACTTTTTGAAGCAGTGTAGTTCCTTGTTGTGCATTGATGTATGGGTAGGCAAAGTGCTCAAAGCTGGGTGAAAACTATATTATTAATCAAGTAACTGTTTCTGGTTGGTGTGGGTTATGAATTGCCCCAGGAAAAATATTTGAGGCTTATTGTAGCAACAAGGTAAAAAGCTCTTAGCAGTTTTCACTGAGAACTCATTTTTTTATGACTAACCACACCTTTGCAGCATCCTACAATCTGTAGTCCTTGAAACTGCCTCATAGTACCTAGAAAATCATATTAAATGGAGAGGAAGATGGATAGTAGTTTGCGTGTAGAGAGTAAGTTTTGCTTGGCCGACTGCCAATGTGGAGAGCAGACAAAGTACGCATTATTTAGCCTGGAATCACAGAAAAAAGGAAGAAGGATGTCTTTAATAATGAAATGTCGGAGGAGAAGAAGATATTGTAGCAATAAACAGATTGAACCCACTAAGCAGAAAGAGTATGCTGAGCTCTTACTACAGTGATACATCCTGTAATAATAGTAATACCGGAATTTAGCTGGGGCCTGTTATTAGCTGTACTCTTTCTTAAGAGAATGCAAAGATTATATTTTCCTTAGACCACTGATGCTCAGGGCATCAATTTTTTTATTGCTTTTGAAACCCCAAAGCCCCACATTTGGAGCTTAATTCTATGCCAACTCAAAGAGAAGTGTGCCACCCAGTAAGTCACGAGCGTTGCTTTGCACGGCACTGGGGGTTTCCTCAGGGCTGCTCTGAGGAGAGCTGAATTTTCCAGTGCTGATAAAGTAATTGAATGCTTACAGACCCCATGCAAAAATGTATGGATATGCACGTATAGTGTTGCAGTAAATCATCAGGAAGTGTTTTTTTGCATTGATAGATGGAGTTACTGGTCGCTAGTAAGAACTGAGCTTGTAATTTTTAATCTTTTAAACTATGTTAATTGTACCTCAGTTGTAATACTTAGGCACCAGACAACTGTTAGCCATTAGGTGTAAAGAGAAATTAGGAAAATGTTTTTAAAAGTCAAATCATTTGTCCATAGGCAGATGACAGAGTCAGGAATCCATTCTTCTGTGGTCTGTCTCCATGCCTGCTTCCTATCTTCTGAATCCAGCAAACACTGTGAGCGATTCAGTAGGATCTCTCACGATAGAAAGTTTTAATCTCAGTATTCAACCTTATGTGATCAGGATCTAGAATCACATAAGACATAGGAGGTTAACTCTTGGGAAAGCTGTGATTATGCATTCCAGGGAAGCATTCACTGCTCCCTGGGGGTGTCTGTATTGCTTATAGCAGGAAGGTAGCTGCAAGCCCCCTCTGGCTGCGTGTGATCCACGTTAACACAATCCAAACGAAACCCCAGCGGAGTCCAAGCTTAAAACCCTTGCTAAGAGGGGAGTGTGTGTTCTTTAGGCAAGGCATTGTGTTAAGGTGTTTGTGTGACTTTTGGCTTGTTCACATCTTATGCAGAGCCCTCCCATGTGTATTGAGTACCTGGGTGCTGTGTGCCACAGCCCACACATTTCTGTAGGATATTTGAGCTGACAACCCCGACAGTCCTCTGTGTTTCAGCACCTCTGTGTTCCTGTGGATGAATACCACAGCGGTCTGTGAGCGTTAGGTCCTTAAATATTGCAACAGCCCACGAGGCCCGTAAGCAGAAAGAGT